TGCTCCCCGAACCCCCTCCCGTGCTTCGACTCGCCACCACTACTCACGAACGTCCGCCCAATCGTGCGAGTCTCTTGCCTTTCTCTCGAAATGTTATTTATTTGTTCGCGCGTTTCGACTTAACAAGATTTTGGGCGAGAACGTTCTGCACTCGCGGAAATTAAAACATCCCCGATCGACGACGCTTCAAAATCGACGTCTCTTTATCCTGATATCTGTACCTTTCGCGTCTTTCGTGCAAAAATTTTCAAATCGATGTGAAAATTCTATTTTTCGATCATTCTGATCTTAGTACCCAGGTCGTAGACACGTTCATACCGAACGGAATGGTTTCTGGTTGATTTTAAATATTTTTAGATGGGGGAAAAAGATTGTGTTTAGGGTAGAATACGGCTAATTAAAGCGTGTTCTAATGAAGGTAATTTGTCTCGAGAATATTCGTATCGTAGGGGGTTAGAGACAAGGGCTTCTCGGAGGTTGCGGCGTAGAATGCGGGGATCGATATAGACTTCAAAAATCCGTCGGGGCAGAAAGTGACCGGGGCTCGGCGTAATAAAAAAGAAAGGGGGGGAGGAACCTCACCTCGGGGAATTTCGAAAGGGTATCCCTCCCCCGTTTTTGTGAATCGTGATACCCGGCAATTACGTGGCGCAGTCACGGTGATTGGCTGGGTCGTTTTCGCGGGAAGCATGGACCAATCGAAGCACCGGTATGCCTCCTCTTTCTCTCTTCTCCTAGAGTACTTGCCGGCAACGAGCACGCTCCCGCCTTTAGTCTAGTCTCGGAGCTGCACCTGTGAGTGAACCTGTAGGCGCACCTGCGACCCGAAATCTATCCGATGCTCGTCGACGGGGAACGACCGAGCGATCCGCGAGGCTATCCTCCGTGCAAATTGCCGACGATCGTTCCGCGACCAGCGTCCGTATCGGCGAGGCTCCTCGCGAGGGAGGAAATCCCGCGGTAATATCTCGTCGAACGTATCCGTGATCGCACGTGTCAGTGAACATGAGGAGCGCGGTGCTCGAGACAACGTCAAGGAACCTCGGGGGTGATCGAGTGCGCGATACGAACGTCCGATGAACAATAACAGGCTCGTCGATCGCGTCGTGGTAGTCGTCGGACCGTCTACGTATCGGGGGTTCAAGGTTTTAATAACGATCGAGGAAAAGTATCTACGACCGTGACTGTGTGCCTCGTGATACCATGTTCATGGGTGGAGAACGTCGCTCGGTGACCGGCGAGACGCGATCACATCGGACGGGGAACAAGGGACAGTGAACCGGGGCTGGGCACGATAGAGAAAATCATCGATGACTGCCAGACGGCACGCTAGTTATGCCCGATAACCATAAATAAAGTTGGAAATGTAAAGGAGCACGGATGCTTGGCTGGACGGTACAAGAAACGATGACACGGACCGCGGCATGGATCACCGTCACCGGATCGTGACGATCCGCGTTCACGGATCCCCGGCGACTGTTAACGACGTACGATCCTGAGATCCCGATGATAAGATCCGATTTAGAGCTGTTATCGAGCCGCGGGCCAGCCCGACCCGGCCCCAGGGCACCGCCTCGTTAATCACACGCTGATTACCGGTTAAATGTTAATGAGTTTCCGCGAGTTCGTCACCGGCGCGTACGGATCGTCGATCATCGATCGAAAGAACTAGAACAGGTAACGTTCTTTTCGTCTCCTATGTCGATTGAGACGTCGTCCGTCAGACGCGTAAGAAGTCGTGGGAGATGAGTTACAGTCGCATTAACTATTTCGCTCGGGACGATGCCCGATGGGATTCCCTCGGCGAGCACCAACAAGAAACGATTTTCCATCCGCTGCTGTCCGCGTCGGGATATTTATCATCCGACCGGCTCTCTCTCCCGACCCGCTTCTTTGCAATTAGAATTCTATGTCTCGGTACGCAAATTCCAGGAAGTATCAATCATCGTACGCGGAAAGAACTCCTCGTAAACACCTTGTTGTTTAACCGCGTTCTTAGAACAGAAAAACAATTTTTAAAAATTGTCTTCTCGAGCTTTCGACAAAAATAAAAGCATACGTATTTAACGACGATTAAAACTATTGAAATTAGACACCTATTCTTTCCCAAAATTTTCTAGCTACTTAGAAGTTTGGTAATTACGACACGACAATTAAGAAACTGTTTCGAGTTCCATTTTTTCCAGTTCGCGAGAATTCCACCGGGAGGGGCTAGGTTGACGACCATAGATTGTAGGGAACAACGGAAAAAGATAAAGATTGCTCGCGTCTCGTGGAAGAGGGCCCGGAAGCCACGTGCACGTGCTTGTAAATTCACGGCCGTCAGCGTGTACCCCCGTAATGCACGTGCGTATGCTGAGCATGGCGGACCGCCACCCAACGAAACGACAGGAAGTTTGAGGAGTTCGCGCTCGTAACTCTCGCGGAATCCGTGTCAAATTGGCGTCCATTATGTTTTATGGTGGCGCGAAACGCGGAGGCGTCCGAAGCGTTGCGTCGCGTTAAGAGCTGCTATGGAAAATTTGCATTGTTCACGGGGGGGGACAAGATCGACGCTGTACGCGAGATAATAACCCGTAAAACGAGACATTGTTCGGTGTACCTTTTTCTAGGATTTTTCGAGCACTTAAGACCCCGTCGTGTTTCTTAGATACGTCTACATTCGTTAACTTCAACGACATTTACGATTTAGATACGTTTATTTCGATATGGAGACCATATTCGTTAAACTGGGTGTATATGGGAAAGTGTGAAATCGTTTATACGCGCTATAGGTTGTTTAAAGTAACTGCAGGCACGCACAGAGAAGCTCGAAGTGAAAAAGCAAACATATAAACGTTGTCGTGAGACCACAATACGGTAGGTTGCGTTGCTTAGAACACAGTACATTTGAATCATTCATAGAGAAGCTGGTTGCCATACTGAGAGTCGATAGGAGTACAATGGTCGACGGGGTAGCTACACCAGAGCATGGTATAAATAATGACATATTTAAACGTTTCAGTCCCAATTTGGACCCCCTTCGGTAAAATTTATAGTCGAAAAAACAATACGGTGAGAGTGGAACAAGAAGAAGGACCGGTTATACAAAACTATAAATTACCGCGGTATTAAGTTACTTGATATCGGAAAGTTCGAAAAGTAAAAGCTCCGTAATCGTTGATATTGGTTATTTTAAAAGTATCGGACATTCTCCGACCGGATAAATTTCGTTTTTCATCTATCAAGTTGCCAACTCCCAAGTTCGAAGACGCGAAGGGTTATCGTCAATAAACCGAGTCGCGTCGAGGTTGCGTTTAAAATAAAATCGCGCGTGAAACGCGTGAGATACGGCCGATGCAAATAAGCAGGTACGCGGCACAATGCAACGAAGCTTTGGGGAATATTTTATTGCTGCTCACGCGAGAATCGACGTAATTCACACTTCGACCGTCGAACCGATAAATTTCCTCTTCGTGATCGTCGGTAACGCACTCCTCTTTCCGCGCTCCGTGTTCGCTCATCCCGTGGGACCCCGTGGCATTCCACGAAGCGAGTAAACGAGTAAATTTGTAGGTAGAATCCGCGCCTCTCATACCCGTTCGAATCCCATAAGTCACGTCTCGAACACAGTGTTTAACCCGCGAGCTTATCTTCGATCATTATCCTCGTTTCAACCGGTGTGCGTCGACCTTAAATGTTTCGCGGGGCGCCGCTGATAATCCGCAAAACCATTTCGACCATCCTCGAAGTTGAATACTTTCGTTGGAAATAATTTTTGTAATCAGACAAATCGGGGGAATTTGGGGGATGGGGGTGAAACACATTTTCCAAAGTATATCGAGCCCGAGAATGATTATTTCCAAAGGCAGTCCATCGATTGAGATAACGTAACTGTATCACGGTAATAAAATAACCGTGAAGTAGGATGACACGTTGCTCGATGTAATATTTCAAATAACGTTACTCGAAAGCGCTGGGGATCTGGCTCCCGCAGCGACGAAACGATTAAAACATAAAGAGTTCCCGTACGAAACCGGTAACCCGTCGATGGTTAAACGGCGGTCGTTTCAAAAGTGCGCGGGGAACGTTAAAAAAAATAAAAAACGTTACCGGATTTCAGTCCGTGATACGGTAAACGATTTTCTAGCTCAACGACCGATCCGGAGCGGCTTTGAATGGGGAACTCGAGCGGTTCGAAAAAACGGCGTCGAACTTGAAACTGGCTGGCCATAACCGACCGTGCCGCGATACGATTTCGTTCGTTCCAGAGCCGGCTGGAAATTAATAACCGTCCCCGATCGAGCGAGATTCCATCGCGATCTCGGTACCCGGACGGGAAATCCAAAGTCCGTAACAGGAGACGTATCGTCGTGAACACGGTGTACGGATTATACGCCGTGTCCCGGCGAACCAAGGGCAAAAAGTGGTAGCGGCAAGTTTTGTCAGCCACGCTTCGATTGGCGAGTTGACGTTAAACAGCTGCCGCCGAGATGAACGATAGTGACAATTCTAATTAAGCGGGCCCCGATTGAGTCGGTTCGTATTAATTACCCGGCGGCCTCCTGGCACGCGCCGCTCGATGTCCCTTTTCACTTATCCTTTCGCGGTATTTTGACCAACGATCTACTTCCTCGCCGGAAGTCGCACGAGCGGAACGCAACGCCTTCGGGGTCACCGATTTCTATGTAAATCGGATCTACGACAACCAGTGTCTCCCAATTTTTTTGAATGGCATTTTCTTTTTATTTTAATATCTGGACGAATCCAGTTCCCCATTTCAGGCTTTTGAACTGTAATTGATATTCTATTACTATCAAAGTACCCGTAAAAACTTTGATCTCAGGGTTCCGGTACTTACAATTTCTGAAACTTCAAAGTATCGAGTTCTGAGAACCCCGTAACTTCGGAGGATCTCAGAATTCCTTGGATGGTACGACTCGGGGAGGTCTTGGGATTCCGAGATTAGAGTGGCGCAGTTCCGCATCGAGCAGCTGTTGCACGAAACTGTTTGGTTTCAGGGGACCTGAAGAGGCGGCACTCTTGGAGCAGCGAGATCGACTACCAGCCAGCGGAAACGGAAGCTGTAGCGACCTCGGGTGAAGATCCCGCCGCCCCGTCCTCGGACGAAGAGGACAGAATCTCGTATAAGGTACCGAGCGATCTTTCCGCGAACGAAATCCATGAAAACCGTACACGTGCGCGCTCCGTTCCGTTCCGGACGCCTTAATTCCGCGACCGGCTAGGGAAAACAATGTCTCCTTTGTTCGACGAAATCACGACTCCGCGGGTCCCGTTTCCACGAGTAATTAAATGCCCCGGAGGCCTGTACTCGCTTCAAATGGAATTACCCCCGTAAACTTACTCGCGGCGTTCGTACACGATACACGGAAATCGGTCGATTGAAACGGGAACACCGGTTATTTGCATTTATATGGATCGAAACGTGGATCGAATTAGCGATCATTCGGTACCCGGATTTAATTATTGCAAACCCGCACACGGGGGGCCGCGCGTAATCGATACTGCCTGCACGGGGAATAATAAATTAACTCGGTATTGGGAAAATCGTATTCGAATGCATCGATCGAGGGTTGCTCGAAGGACAAACTGAGCGAACGTTTCTTTAACAGAGAGTGGTTCTCTCGAAACAAAGTAGCTTCCGAGAAACGCACTATAATCGTAAAAACCGTTTCATAGTTTATCGCGGGCATAAGAAATATAGTTGGGTGGTTGTCGTCACGAGAAGGAAAGAGGCATCGTAACACCACCGTTCGGGAAGATCCGTCGATGCAGGAGGGATGATGCATTGTCTCTGGTGCTCCTCGCGTTGCAACGCCACGATTTCTGCAGTTGCAGTTGTCGTTAAAGCACGGCGCTCGGGTTTTACGGTCTCCGTTGTCTGGCTGCAGTAGTAAAAGGAAATACACCGTTGCACCACGGCCGTTACGCATGGGCCGTCTCGTGCAATGATCCCCTCGCGCATATAAAACGTAATTTTGGTTAAACGCCCTGGGCTCGCTCCGTGGGCCGCTTTCGTTCCCACAATTTTCATGGGAAAAGTGCATGCACCGCGACTCGAGGCCGGTTTTTGCTCGAAACCCTTACGATTTCTTTTCTTTAACTTCGTCGAAACCCCACTGAAATCCTCGCGCATACCGACCCGGGGACTGTTTCAAACCTTCCGCGCAGGAACAATAGACTTTCGGTATCTTTCGTTCGTAAAATACTGCGAGATCAACTTAACTTAACTATAAAGTTATTATACGAATTTAAAAAAGAGAAAATTGTAGTTTAGAGAGGTCGTTGTACTTTTTCTTTAATTCCATTCCCGTGCCAGGGCATCGGAATATTTAATGGCCGTCACACGCGACCAGCATGGGGATCGTGCCGTGAAAAAGACGTACGATCCGCCGTCGCGGCGACCTGGAAAAAAAGCGTAACGCGGCGGCGTTGGAATTCTCGCGAGGCGCGCGAAGAAGCCACCCCGACACGCCGAAAAATTCCGATCCAAATAAAGACACAGACGGCACGGGGTGGCGGAGCCAGAGTCGGTACGGTTTTTGCCCGTACGCCTCGCATCCAGGATCCTTTACGACGCTTTCCAGGGAGGAACAACGAAGGCGTCGCGCGCTTCCACGGCTTCTGGCGGAAAGACCGGGGCGGTTAGGCGCGCGACCAAGAAACCGAGAAGAGGAACGACCGACATAAACGGCGACCGTTTCTCGCTCGTTACGCCGTCTGAAAATATCGACGCCGGGGCATCCTCGCGTTCCTCGACGCGATTTTCTACGCCGCGGTGGCTCCGTTCCTCTTCTTCTTCCTTTTTTCGGCAGGGGTTGCGCTCACCCGGAGACCGCCGCGATGGCTTCCGAGAAAACCGACGGATATCTCGCACGAAACGATTTATGCATCGGAATGCACGGAAAAATACGCTTGAAAAAGTATTCCGCCGGTAATCGTTGCTATTATTCGACTCTTTTTTCTCTTAAAAATCCATAATGCCCACAGCTAGCACGTTTGAAACTTAGTAATCGATTTTCCCGTAAACGAAACTACAAACGGAAAAATATCATTCCTTTTCCCCGACTTATTTTCTGTACGACTCCGAAATAAATAATTTCCACGGTACCGAACGGACCAAGAATCCGTAGGGCGAGGGTCAAGAGCTTCTCAAGCTATCATTTTATAAAATGGCCGTGGTGCAGGGGGTTATTCCTTGCTTTCGCGATAAGCTACGTATCTCGATACACTCAGAATCCCAGATTGTATATGCCTATCTTTATTATGGATTTCTCGGAATACGCGCATTACTTATGGGACGTCCTGATGGTTTGTTTGTCGGCGGCCCGCCAGTTTCTCGGAACCCTGCACGCTCCTGTGGGAGGATTGATTGCCGATTGACCGATTGCCTTGTGGACTGCGGTTTTCAGGCCTCGGATGGTCGCGCGCGCTGCTTACCGGTCGCCTATGCTGCTTTTTTGCACCGCGGCAGGAAATCGTATATTTCAGGCGTTGCGATGCTTCTTGCGGCGCGGAAGGTTCGCGTGAGACGCGGTCGCGTTATTGGCGATGCTTTTTTGCCGCCCGGGACGCTTAAGCGTCTGGAAGCTTCGATAGCTTCTATGGTTCGGTAACGAGGCTCGGAGATGTAAGGGTGCGCTTTTTAAAAAGGATCGAATTAATGCTGACGGGGTCGTGGGAACAAAGACGACCGTCACCCTCGTTTCACGACCGTGGTCGACGGAATTGGTTCACCAGACACGTTTCTGAACCCATTTTTTTACGACTCGAAAGGCCAAACGTAATGCTTTCTATGCAAGATCGACGGTCGCGCAGTAGCGATTGTTGCAGAATATGTGGAAAGAAGTGACGGTAATTTGCGTAAGTTTTGCCTTACACGAGAATGCGAGGGTCGTTGGAAAGGATTGCGACAGAAACGTCGAACCATTCTCAATTAAGCGCTTCGAATTCCGTGCTCGACTCAACGAGAGTTGTTCGAAGACTAATTTCGAGGCACGCGTGATTTACAGGCGGACGTGTGCTTGGGAACACAGACGGTTCTCCCGCGAACGTCTCGCGAATATGCAGGATAGAAACGAAACGAGCCGGCTCGAGCGTTATTACCGTGTTTGCCAAAAGGCGAACGTCGTGAGAAACGAACGACTGCTCCGACAGAAATACGACGCAAGAAACGGATATACTGGGTCGCGATTTCGCGATACCTACGAGTCCTTTCCAGCAGTATGGACTCGGGAATTACAGGACGGATCGCGCGTCGGGCGTTAAATCAAACCGAGAGGAGGTCCTCGTGATCGTTAATTGCTAGACTACGCGCCGTCCTCTAAAGGGATTTTATTGCACCGGAAAATCAGACACGGTACCGTTACTCGCGTACGGGAGGGCAGGCCATCTGCGTGGCACGGCAAAGAGCATAAACGTGTAAATGGCTGATAATAATCCCGACGGAGGGATTCTGAAGGGAATAAAGCGCGTTCTTTGCCCACGAGCTTTACGAGCCTCCTAGCTTCCCCTCGCGTCGAAGGTAAATAAAACCTCGCCGTTTCTGTCGGGGGATGAAACCGTACAAACCGTCCGCTTAAACGGTAAATATATTTTAAAAAAAATAATCCCTCGTCTCATCGAAATAACAAGCTCTCGAGACGAAACGCAATTGATATCGTTACAGCTCGCATCGAGCCGTGGCACATTAATTACCGTCTCCTTCTTCGAGCACAGTGATCGCGGTTACCATAAAACGGATTACAATATTATTACAGTTAATGGCATCGTGCGATCGCGAGCACAAATTACAGGGTCCGTTGCATTAAAGCCACGCGTTTTATTGACGTCGAAATTGTACGATTCGCGAATCTCACGCGATCGTGCCGTGGAAAAGAAATCCTTAGGCGATGTCGTAGATTGTGGCATTCTGTAAATAAACGAAGGTATAAACGGCTAATAACCACCCAGGGGACAGGCCTGATCAGCGAGCGGCCGTCCGCGGAGCAAACTAGACGTCGTAATTACGCTTTACGAGGATGCGAACGAGCGATTTCCGGGCGTGCATCGGCTACGTATCGAACAAACAACTTTGGTATGTCGAGCAACAAAAAGAGATAACGTCGCTCTTATCGGGACGTTATTGGGTACCGTTAACGCGGGGGACCCCCGATACCGAACAGGACAAGAAAGTTCTAGAAATGATGGTCAACCGCGGCGTTCTGAACGTTCCCGCGAACGGTTTCGATGTCGCGGAAGATGGCCGGGGAACTGTTAAAGCATGTCAAGCTCATTTTTGCTCGGTGATCAATTTACACTTCGCTACCATGTCACGGTCGACGGACGTACAATTATTCCGCCGCGATAAAAAGTATTTTAAAGACCATTTTCCAGCCATGCCGGCACCGGTCATTACACCGTTACGTCCGAAGGATCGAAAAGAGAGCAATGGTTTTAATGGAAGGCAGCAAAAGGATACAATTATTTATAAGGGGACATCGATGAAAGAACTCTCTTAACGTCGTTTCGTTTCTCCTCGAAACGCTTGCGTTCGGCGACCACCGAAATGGCTACAATTTTCTTAATTTACAAATCTTGGACAAATTAGTTCGGTAATTTTTTATCCAAGATGACGGACACTGATCCTTCAAACGACTCGCAGGATCGCGAAAACGCGGGAAGACCAGAGCCGCAAATGGCAAAAGTGGTGGCGTGCACGGTAATTCAAGCTAAGAGGTTGTAATTAACTTCGCCAGAGCCGGGAGAGAAAGGCGGACGCACCGAAAGGGAACGGGACGATGGAAAGGGGAGCGGAGAAGGACGTACGAGGGTCTCTCGGACGTTTCGGCCACGGGGAGAGAACGAGGGTACGGGAGAAACTCCCGGAAGGGGTCAGCCGGGGTTAAATATTCCGGGAAGGGAACCGACGACCCGCGAACACGCGAGTAAAAACGCGAAAACGCGTGACCTTTAAATCAATCACCGGTTTGGCCGCGCGAGAGAGTTCATTCTCACGCCGCCTCAACGTCCACGGACGAAGTTCACGATACGAACTCTCGTACGAATCGTCCTATTTCTTTATTCCACCGTCCAGTAACTGGTAATTTGCTCGATCGAACTCCCTCTTCTGACCTTTAAGTCGATCGAGGC